ATTATTATTATTATCTTATTTTATATCTGTAGTGATGACCAACTTTAACAGATCAAATATTTAGATTTAGAAAGTCAATTCGAAGATCCAGCCCAATAACAATCAAATAAATTGAAAACTACCACGACCAATAAGCTGACTCAGTAATCTAAAGCGTTGCTGAGGGAGCTAAAGCGAATTGAACAAAATTCCCTTTTCGTTAAGGCAAGTTTGTTTGGGCTTGACTTGAGCTTCGTACGATGTTTGCTGTGTCAGCTAAAGCGAGTTAATTATGCATTGATTTCTAAAATTTATTTCTAAAACTCGGCGAAATTTATGTTTCGCAATTATGTATAGATAAATAATACGACRCTACTTATATTGCACTCTTAGACTTACAGAGAGCGCAACGCCGGATTCACCTTGACACAAGCTCCCATAGAAATAAAACACGATARAAGATTTCTGGAGAATGGTTATGGACTACGAGTTCGGAACCATATCGACATGTTAAATAATTTTCAGGAAGGAGACGAGGTAAGGTCATATTGGGCAGTTACTACAAAAACACATGGCGCCAGAAACAACAAAAAAGGTGCTGAAAAAAACTTTTCCTTTCCATTCCCAACCAGCCCCTGAAATAAATATGTGGGGCTGGGAATGGGAAAGGGGTGGGGGTGCGCCAGACAAAAGACCATTTTAAAATTCGTACAGTACCGCTGTGTTGCTTGATTACACTCTTATTTACTCAGACCGTTAGGCTCATTTCAGCGTCRACTGAAATATCCAAAAATTACAAACGGTAAAGTAAAGAATGCATGGTGTAAATCGTCGTGCATCTTTGATTAACGCTTGTAATTATTGATCTACCAGAGACAGCGCAGCGTGCAGCACCTTCAGCACACGGCTTGGGAAGATAATTCTGTCCCAAACAACTCCCAGTTTGGAAGTCGCAGCAGAAGTGCAGTAATAATCCAGAAGTCGTTCACTGTAGGTAAGAAACATGATATACTGCTTCTTTTTATAATAAAAAAAATTGTTGTGATTACTCTTAATTTGGATCTTTATTCCCTTCAGTAATGGTGTTGGTCGTAGCGGTACATTCTGTGCTATTGCTTCATGTCTTRAACGAGTCAAACAAGAACAAGTATTGGACGTATTTCAGAACGCTAAGAATATTCGTGCCAAAACGGTTTCTCAGAATTTTGATATCTTGTCTCGTTTTAAAGTTATTTCATGATTTATGCGTAAAAGAGGTAAAAATCACGTCAATCAACTTTGAGAACAAATATTTCCGCAACAAATGCGTTTATCGAAAATCTGAGACACTGTTTTGGAGATTAAACTGTGCTCTTTACGGTGACGTCAATTATTTCCTAAAAAAAAAAATTCCCGTGTTCTGGGATCTTTTCGAAAAAGAGCGGTCGAAAATTATAAAACTCGCACTCTCAAAAAACCCTCTCTCTCAAAACATAATTCTCATGGTTGAAATTTGTGTTTATTCAGTATTAAGAAAATATATACTTTTGTAGCCATTAGATGAATAGTTAGTGCGCTATGACGTTTTTAGTGAACATCGGTCGCGAAGGTCCCCTGGTACCTTAAGAATATTCGTGTCAATAGACCAGGAGCTGTAGAAACATTGTTAAGTATACAACTCCTCTTGTCTCTACTCCTTTCCTTAGCTCTCCTTTGCTCCCCTCTGCTCTTCTATTCATCTGCCTTCTTTAAAAATACAATTTGTTTATATTGTCCCATTACGAGTAGTGTTACATCACCTTGAAACAATACCTCGACTCCTTCATAGATTATGCAAACTTTACTGGCATTTAATTACGTTGTAAATGGAATGGAATTTCATATTCAACAAGCAAAGACAATACGTCCTCAAGAAATTCTTAGATCAAGGATTTTATAGAATATGGTAAAATATATAATCCTGGCGGTGCACACGTGTGTAAAAAAATGGCCGATAAGATAACTTCTGGAGGGTATTCCTTGCGAAGAGTAATAAATGTCACTAACACTGACTCCCATTAACAATGAAGGGATAGGATGAGGGTCACCAAAACCAAATGCAAAAGTCTAAACACGCGATGCTTTTGGAGAAATAAAAGCTAATACTCAATGACTAATACTCTTGCCAATACAAAACAAAAGAAAACAATGGAATCACTGACTACTAATTAGGTGCATTAAACCAATATCTCTTTCACTTGTCGATCAAGTGCCATAACTTCATAAAGAGATAATAATATATATCTTAATATATAGTGATATACTCAATGAATCCTCGAAGATTAATTGAAGATTGAACTTAAAACTAAAACAATTCTACATTTTAAACATGCGAATTTGGGTATCAGTATTTTTCAGGCTGCTTTTAATGTAAAGTGAATGTTAATATATTCTCTTTAATAAAAGAAAATTTAAAAAATGTTAAATTTACACCTGGTGTATATAGTTTTTTTTTTCGTCAATGCAAACGTCTTGACACCACACATGCTCCTAAATATACGAAGAACTAAAGTATATTCCAGGTATGTTGCCTACAGTTTGATAATGCAATGCGGATCATTAGTACTATATTTTGCCCAAGTAAGGTCTATAGGCCGGAACCAACCAGGAGTTTATGGGTGAGCTCTGCATTTGTAGTTCTTGATCTCTTGCTAAACTCAAAGCTGATGCGGCGTTTATCTTTTTATCCAATTACGTAGCATTGCACGGACCCATCGACGCATTTTCACGTGCATAGAAATATGTAAAGTAATTGAACTGTAGATCATAATTGTGATTCTAACCGAAGTTCACTGCTGACCGGTGAGGTAACTGCAACTGGAACTTGAAGATACAGATGTCTTCCATGCTCGTTATATATAAAACGTAAGGAGTAGAGACTGACAGGGGTTTGTCCTTGGAGGGTGTACAAACAGCAGGTAACTATTCTAGTTTGGGATGCCATCTTGTGTCTGTCGAGTGTTATTTCGGGTATCATTCCACAATATTAACAAGACTCTTTATTTATATTTTTTACATCTTTGCATATCATTCTATGAATGTGAACCATGTTAAAACTAATCTTAATCAACCAAAATGTTCCTACTGATTTAGCAAACCTACAGACCACACATTGTACACCGGTTCACTGATCAAACAGACGATCAAACACTGATCAAACACACGATTGTATTGTTCTACGTACTGTTGTTACCATCAGCGGTAGGCTGGCAAACAAACAACGTTAACATTTCTCAAGACAAAATTAAAAATAAGTCGAGAATGTTGGAGCAATAGACCAATTTAAGTTGGGATTGACGTTTTCCCATACCACGTGTCATTCCCTTCAGAATAAGATTATTTGTTTGAGTTGGTTCTATATTTCATTATATGCATACCCCGTTTTCTCATGCGCGACAATTAAATGAAGAAATGATACTGCTATAGGGAATAACATGTGATGGTCTAAAATAGGAAAACATTACGCCCAAACTAAAGAGTCCTTTCTTTGGAGAACAAAGAAATTCTACTATCCCGTGCACACTATAAAACTACTTTGCAAATGCAAATTTCCTCTTGTACAAGTTTACTCAGGGGGCCAAATATCAGAAAGTTGTTGAATTGATGTACAAAAATGTGGCCATGCCCCACCATCTTACCTCCCGAGTAAATTAAAGCAAGAAAATAATAACTTGCATTGACCTTTCGATGGCTTATTTGGATTGAGATACTATGATGTTCGCGGAAACTTGTCCGCACTTTCCAGTCAGCTCTAAAGGTTTGGCTCGCCAAGCGCATTATTAAATTTATTGCAGCTCCAATGAGCGAACGCTTGGATAATAAAAAAGCAATGTATGGTATCTATTTAACAAATAAAGCAGCCTTTTTTGTGCTTCGTTCAGTAATAAAGCACGCAGGAAGTGAAGTAAGAGCGAAAGTAGTGTAAGGAGAAGCACGGGACGTAGACGAGCCCTTTTCACACTTCTTGAGTCCTAAGTGCTTTATTACTGACCAGAGCAAGAAAAAAAGCACGGAAAAAAGTTTTATTCGTTTCATTATATAGTTACTAATTTTATTTTGGTATTAAATTTATTTACTCAAAACGCGACGAAAGACGGTCGCAGGATCTAGCAGCACTTCGAGCGCGCGGATGGCGTCCGTGGATGGCACTGTGCTCCGTTCACTAATAAAACACAGGTTTCGACCAATCAGCGCGCGCATACTACCCTAACTATATAATAATTAACAAATAAAACAGCGCCTTAAGGCTGTCCGCAGTCGATTAATTGTTCAAAGAAAAATGATACAACCTACACTTTCGACTGGAGAGAAATGTCTAAACCACTGAGTAGTTATGAAGTAAAATTGACAATGGCAAGAAAAGGATAACAAATTAATTACCGAAAGACTTTCAAATACTAGTAGTAGTTACGATGGCTTCTCCTACACAATTCATGGATTATCATTGTGTGCACAGTACAGTATATCTGTTAGGGCGTACACACGTAAGAATCGTATCTCTTAAAGTCACTTTACTTGGGTATCGTTTGTGGAGAGATAAATATGAAGCGATGGGTTCAATTAATGGAGCAATTTTGATTTTTAAAAATGTGGTACTGTATGCTCACACCCTCAGTGGCTGAACTTCACATGTTACTGTTATTGCTATTATTACAAATTGTACATGTTTTTATTTGTCACTACAATTAAGCAATGGTCAATGCTTAGCTTACGTCCCACTGCTATAGCATTCTTCGTCAGCGATCTTCGTTGGCGCTTTGCTGCATCACAAATTATCTAAACATATTGTACTGTAATTTTTTCGAAAACTGAGTCAAAAGAATGCATCAGTGGCTTTACTTGGATTCCAGTAACCAACATAGTGTTTTTCTGGACTACTGTGGTGACCTGTACCGCGGATTGAGCAAGAAGAACTGAACTAATTGACTTCTCAACTGCATGCGCAAGACTTCTTGATTTCGCTGTAGTGAGCTGGCCGGTAGAAGGGCGAGCTTTTTAGTAAGCTAAACTTGATCTCAAACAACAGTGAAACAAATACACTATAAACTTTTTATGAAAAGGAAATCAATACTTATATTTTACCTTAAATGTACAGAAAGGTAGACCAGTTAGTAGTGTTTTTAGTTTTATCTGAATGCTTGCAATTTTCACCGAATTTTCACCAACTTGACGTCACCAGCGTGCTCCATACGAGTGCTCCAAACATTTTTTCTTCATAGGTGGCGAACCAATCAGAACGCGCGTTATATCTTAGTTATGTTATAATGTCACTGATTGGCCGTGTGGTAAATGGTATTGTCTAACATTTGAATCTTAAAATGATGAATGATGTTGGAAAAGTATTCTGTAAAAGTTTTAACTAAAAATTACTGTTGATACCGTTTTATTTGCAGAAGCTGGTGAACCATTACATTTTATAGCGTCGTTAAAAAGGAAGCCAATGCCCTACTTAAGTGGTGGGAAAAGCCCACTAATATCAAAGATTTCCTTCAGTTTTAAACGGTAA